GGATCCTATTCCCGCTCACCTCTTCCCTTAGTTACCACCTTTCTCTCTCCTCATCCTCAACCTCTTTTCCATTGCTGGATCATTCCCACCCATGAAGAAACATATACTGGTATCTCCTATCTTAAAAAGAAAAACTTCTTCATTGAACTCATATTTCCTTCTACTACTGCTCATTTTCATGTTCTGGTCTGCTTCATCACCAAACTTCTCGAAAATGTTTATACAAACTGTCATCATTTCCTTACCTTAGAGTCAGTCTTCTCTCCACTCCTGCCTGGCTTCTGCCCCTCACCACTCCACCAAGGATAATTTTTACAAGAATACCAATAATCTACAAGCTACTAGATTCAATGGACATTTCTCTGTCCACATTTTACTCCATTGTGCAGCTAACGTGGTTGAATACTTCCTCTTTCTTGAAAAACCTCTTTGCCTTTAGCTTATATGACGTTACCTGGCTTTTCCTTCTCCATCTATGATTGCTCTTTCTCAGGCTTCTTTTCCTCTTCACAACTTCTAAGTGTTAATATTCTCTGGGCTCAGTCCTCCATTGTCTCCTCTTCTGTCTCTGTTCATTTCTCTTTCTCTCTCTCTCACTAGAATTTCATCCATCTCCCTATAGCTTTAAATACCACCTGTATGATCATGACACCACATTTAAATCTCTAGCTAGCTAGTTCAGATATCTTGATTTTTTCCCCTTCTAACCCTGTTCTCTCCCTCTCAGTAAATGGTTTTACTACTTACCTACATGGCTGATCAAGTCAGAATCTAAAATTCATATTTGATTCCTCTTTCTCCCTCATTCTCTGTAATCATTCCATTAGCAAGTCTTGTCAATCCTGTCTCCAAAATCTGTCTTGAATCTATCCGTTTACCTTTATCTACATGACTGCTCCAGTAATGCATACTTATCTCTTGCTACACTCCCCAGTTGGCCTCCCAACTAAGTTTCCAGTTTCCCCCCTTCCAGTAGCCATCCAGCTTCTAGCCAGTCTTCTAATATAATGTTGTATGTCCACTTTACTTAAAAAAAAAAAAAAGTAAAAGGGATCATGTTAATTCCCACTTAAAACTTTGAAATGGTTTCTCTGCAAACACATTTCCTGGAGACAAATTCTGATTTCACCATTTTCCAGCTCTGGAGTCTTGGGCAAGTTGCTTAATACCCTCTGTGGCACAATATGTGCTGGTAAAGTGAAAGAAGATAATTCATATAAAGCCCTTATGACTATGCCTGGCATGCAGTAAATGTCCACAATTATTATTAATGTTGTATGGCCTACAAAGACCTGTGTGATCAGACTTCTGTGGGCCTAAGGCCTCAGGCTAAACACTTGAGAATGCCTTTCCTAATGACTTTCTTCAAAGTTGTGTTTTCTTTCAATGTTTCTCTACCTCAACAACCTATTTACTTTATACTACTTATCATCATCTGTGATTATCGTTCTCTTTTGTTTGTTGCCTGTCCTCTGCCCTAGACTACAAGCTCCGTGGAGAGGGACCACGTTTATCTTGATCACCATTTTAACTCTAGTACCTAGCACAGTTTTTGCCACACAGTAGGAATTTATTATATATTTGTTGATAATATAATTAATGAATCTCACATACTTATAGTAAGACCTTTGGAGACTTACTTTTTGGTCAGTTTTTCATTCTGATTCAATTTGACTTTTACTAGAATATAACATTTATTTATAACTCTGTCATCTGTCTTGTATGTCATGGGAGAATTTTCTTATCTCCTCTCTTTAAAGTTTCATATATAGAGATTAAATTGGGGAAGAGAACAAGAATATTGGTAATGAAATATCTTTGGTTTACGAGATAAGCTTTGTCATATTTTAATAGTGCCCTTTCAGTGTCTAGAATAACTTGTGACTCTCAAAAAAGGAAATTTTGAGGCATGATACTGTGGAGTATCAGCATAATCCATACTGGTTGTTCACCGTGGATGCCATCCAAAGATATTTGCTATTGAAGTACCAGAAAGGCCTTAAAATAGTCTTACAGAATGAACACTAAAGATAGCATTATAAAGACATATTTCAATTAGAGTTAAATTATATCTGTTAAGAGAAAAAGTTATTTTTATGAAGGTATTACTTTAAATGCTTTTCTAGTTTCTAATATTTTTCTGGTCAACCTACAAATAATTGGAAAGAGTATACCTAATAAAAAGAGGAGGCTTTTCTTCCAGATCACAGTAATATCAAATGGTTGCTCACAATTTTCCTTTGCTTCTAAAATATAAAACTTCTTTAAAGATATAATCTAATATATAAATCTTTAAATGGAAGTTTTATATTTTTCACCTTGGTACTTTCAATATTTGTAATATGTTTTTGCAGTTCAGTACACTGTTTTGGTTAGATTCTTCTCATAAAAATATTTTCTTTAGAACAAAAAATATTTTCAACAAAAGAAAAGGAATTTTTTTAGTGTATACCTTACTATTATTGAATTAGTCATCTTAGGCTTTACTCTTGGCTCATTTGTTACATAACCTTGGTTATATAAGCAAACTTTATTAATGCTCCAGTTTTTCTATGAGATAAAATGAAGAGGTTCAAAGCTTACAATCTTTTAAAGCCTTTGAAAGTGCTGATAACAGGAATCAGGTTTTCAGTCAAAATTACTGATATGTTGGTTTGATTAAGGGAATAAAAAATTTTTCCTGACAGCTGCTGCTTCTTTAATATACATGAAATGACTTGTCTTTGATTAAATGATGAGAATGTGATCTTTTTCAATTCAGATCCCTTCATTTCAGGATTCTTTTGAATACTGAATTACTTTAAAAATGTTACCTCAAACTTAGAGATGTATTTTATGAAAAATACTTTTTTTCTCAACCAGAACTAATAATAAAAACATTCAGCATACGATGGACAGTTCTCTTAAGTAGCCCTTCCTCTTACGTTTGTCCTCTCCTCCCCTCTCTTGCAGTAAGTACTGTTATATTAAACCAGGTCCATGCAGTGTTATGCTTCAGGTGTGATTTTATTTGAGTGGAATTATTGATTTCACATATAGCAAGCATTTCATTTGTATTGATTAGCTTAAAAAATCATTAGTAAAACTAAAGCCAAAAAGATCAATAAAACAATCCTGTATACACATGTATAACAGACCTTTAGACTTTAAATGATTTCTAAAACCAGTTAGTTTTGTGTTTATTTTTGATACCCTTCAATAGTTGCTAAAACAATATTAACATTAGGAAGCAAGCAAGAATAGTTTTGATCTGACTCTTAGAATGCACCTTTAAACATGTTGAGCTCAACATGGGGAATAAAAAAAGTAGGCCCTTTCTTATATAGGGGAATAGTAGGAATAATGGATAATTGCCAGCATCAAAAACCAGAATTCTTTTCTGACACGTGTCTCAAAGAATTTAGTAGTCTAGAACATTGGAATTATAATTCTTCCAGGAGTCAGTAACATATTCTGTCAACAGCCAGTTTAGCCATTGGGGCAGGGGCAAAATCTCAGATATAGAGATTTGTCTAAATATCTCTTTTTGTGGAACACTTTCATTGAATATGTAGAAAATCCTTCCATTTATTTTACTAATCTTTGTTAGTCTGGAAGTTTTAGTTTTTTTCATTTTATATAAATCAGTGAAAGCAATTCTCATATTTCCAAGGAAACAGACAACATCTATTCCAAGCTAGGCTTCTCACCATATTTGTTGGCAGCCTTACACCTAAGAGGGTAGATAGTTGTCTCCTATTTTCCTCTTTGTATTTTTATTATTCGTTTAAACTTCCCTGTGAACCGTAGCGTAGGTTAAATCCTCTGTAAATCTTCCTGTTTACCAGTGTGGTTTAATGGGCAGCATATGGAGCTTACAGTAAGAGGGGCTGAGTTCCCTCCGTGAGCAGTTCATCCATGTGAGCCTGGGCAAACCGCTTTAACGTGACTCTTTTTCTGACGATAAATTTATAGCTAAGGACAGTTTTTTCCACGTTCACTTCATGGACTTTTTTGCAAGTATCAAATGATATGTTTGTAAGAGTATTTGGTAGACTCCGAACTTTTCAGAATTAATGGTGGGATTATGAGTATATTAAAATCTTTTTGCAGCCTTTATAAACTCACAGATACTGAGAAGAGCAAGACAAATTTCATTTACTAAAATGTTTTCCTTTTAGTTAGTAGAGTGGTGTTCACTGTCTATATGTAATTTAAATAGATATAACAATTTAATGATCCCTGATTACTGAACATGAACTAGTTTTTGCATAATATTGTTTTAAAGAACAACTAAGTTCAATGATCTTACATTCTTTTGTAGAAAATTACCTTAGGCCCATATTATGATATTTTTTCAAAATATTTATTTTAAATATTTTTAAATAAAATTTTAGCATTTTAGAAACTAACATTCACCAAAACAGATGGCTTTACAGGAATTAGCAAAGATAGATTCATATTCACATTTTGTCAGAGATAATACTTTCTTTTTCAAATGCAGCCATCTTGGTAGCCCGTCTGACCTATTAGTATTGCATTGTTAGAAGTTAGCATAAATTACTAATGATCACACACCTTCCTGGTGCTTAATTTAGTTAATAACCCTTGCAATTACAGAAAAACAGAATGTATGTTTGTGTTTGTTCTATGTATAGAAAAATAGTCTACATAGTTTTGAAAATAGACCAGTATAAATGATCATGAATTTGCCATCTTTCAGATTGCATTTCTGTTGCTTCACTATTAGGGAAAAATGCTAGGCACTCTAGGCCCGTTGAAAGAGTCACTTTGGAGATTCTTTTTGAGGGAAGTAGAAATGCTTAGAATGATTTTTTGTTATGGTGGCAGTTTTTGGTTTTTGTTTTTTCTAAATATCTACAACACTTGGGTGATCTGAGTACATTTTTATTTTGATAAATAAATTTAGTTCTTTCTACTTTAGTTTGGGCTCTAAGTGATTTCTCTAAATGAAACTTCAATCAGTTTTTATTTATTTATTCACTCATTTCATTTTTTAGGAGATTTTATGAGGATGGAGCAATTGTCTTGGGTGAGGAAGCAAATATGCTTGCTGGCATGCTGCTTGGACTCAATGCTATTGATTTCAGGTACTTAATCTAACTAAATGTATTTAGTTCTCAAATTATTCTACCACATAATAGTTCTACTTAGGATTTTTTTCTTTCAGTTTTCTAAGTAAAGCACACAGTTGGATATTGCTATTTGATTCATATTGTTCCCTTTCAAATGGCATCAGTTTTCTAAATGGGTTTGCTCTCAGAAAAGAGACTGTCTGAAACTTAAGAAATTCACTAACAGGCTTGCTCTCTAGTTGGGTAAAAAGGAAAGCTTAGACTGCATTTGCCCAAGCAGAAAAATCATGTACTCTGGTAGCACTGAAGGAAGGTTTTGAATCGTATCTCTTAGTATTTTTCAGCTACTGCTTTAAAATGCAAAGAAATAGGGGCCAGCGCAGTGGCCGAGTGGTTAAGTTCATACGCTCCGCTTCGGCGGCCCAGGGTTTCGCCCGTTCGGATCCTGGGCGCAGACATGGCACTGCCCATCACGCCATGCTGAGGCGGCGTCCCCCATGCCACAACTAGAAGAACCCACAACTAAAAATATACAACTATGTACGGGGGGGTTTGGGGAGAAAAAGGAAAAATAAAATCTTAAAAGAAAAAAACCACCCCTGGTGTTAAAATGCAAAGAAATACACTAAAAGTAGATTCAGAACCAGAAAGATTTTCATTATCTCATGTGCTGAGATAAAGAACATCCTGACAGGATATCTTGGGTATCCTATGTTTCTTGTATTATGTATCTAAAATATAAAAAAATTAATATTTGCTTTTATTATTAATAAGATGAATTGATTCTGGACTAAGATTATAAGTACTAAAAATGCACAATGTACGTTCTTTTTAAATTTAGGGAAGCATCTTTTTGCATTTCCTAAATTGATCCAAGATTTTACATTATACTAAAAGTGGAAAGTTTGTCTGTAACAATAATTCAAATATAAGAGTGAAGGAAATACTATATTTTTATTGAAATATTACTTAAAATGCAAGAATATTAACAAAATAAGTATAAAACTTAAATGAAATCTACTTTTAGGTCTTGAATTAAAAAGTATTGTGCTCATTTTCACTGAGGTTGCCTTTTTCTAGTAAATCACTTCCTTTTCAAAATATTTGTTATTTTATAGGTAAAACTTTCCTCTACTTAAGATTTAATGGGGGGCCACCCCCGTGGCCAAGTGGTTAAGTTCAGCCTGCTCTGCTTCAGCAGCCTAGGGTTTCGCCAGTCCCCATCCTGGGCGCAGACATGGCACCGCTTATCAGGCCACACTGAGGCAGGGTCCCACATGCCACAACTAGAATCTACAACTAAAATATACAACTATGTACTGGGGGGATTTGGGGAGAAAAAAGCAGAGGGCAAAAAAAAAAAGCTTGGCAACAGTTGTTAGCTCAGGTGCCAATCTTTAAAAAACAAAAGATTTAATAAAGTAGTATTAGATTAATTAGCTTAATTGTTTAGGATGAACATGATAGATGCAATATGAAGGTTCTTTGTGATTCCTCTAAGGGTGTTAACTTTTTCCATTGCATGCTGCTGGCTCTGTCTAAATCCTTTAGCATTTTTTTTTTTTTTGTAAAACAAAACCTGGGATAAGAATATGAACTGTTGGTTTATTGTAACCCATTGGTACTGTATAATCAACTGAAAGCAAGTCTTAAAGATACATTAGTAATGTTTCTGTGAACAAAGAAAAGGTCATATAAAGTGTTGCCACTTTGATTCTGTCCTTGTTCAAGTCTGGAAAAATACATACGTACCCTGGATATTGATATATTAACACAAGTATTTCAGCAGACAAACTTCCAAAAAAACCAGAAGGTGGGAGTTCACAGATGAATGGTTTTCTTTGAAAGATCAACCTACATTTTATAAATATTCCTATGGTTATCTTCCTAGAAGATGTACTTTTTTTCTTTTATCAATAGTAACCATAAACACCGTTTTTTTTTTTTTTTTGATTATCCAGTAGAAGAGAAAGATTAGTGGGTTGGGGGACCGGGAGATCTAGAGTTTCTTTATAGGCTGTATGAGACTCACAGTATGACTTTGGGCAAGTCACTTAACCTTTTCCTTGTTGCCTTGGCTTCTTAAAAAGGATTGACTTAGAGATTAGAAGATTTTTTGCATTCTTTTTTAAGTTTAAGATCCAAGCCCTTTCACCTCTTTAGGTAGTCTAGAAAACCCTCATTTTCTAATTAGATCTTTTTAGGTGATGTTCAGTGTCACGTGAGAATTTATGTGTGAATGTGAACAAGTCTTCATTTGAAAGTTCTCTAGTGATCTCCAATAAAGACCAAGATAGTATGAAATAAATAAACAGTGTTTGAACAGATTTCTCAGTGAGTGTTGCATTTGCAGCAAATATTTATGTAACAGTGTATTAACTTGCACAATGCTTTGTCATTGGCATTGAAGCCAGGATATCTGTATTGAGGTATTTATTTGTAACAAGTAACATTTAAATTACAAACAAAAAAATTCAGCTGCAGTTTGGTGAATCAAATGTCTCTAACAAGAGATTGTTTATTAACACTTGTTTGATTTAACATTTTATCTATTAAAATGGAATATTTATTGTCTGTTTTCTTAGCTTCTGCCTAAAAGGAGAAGGATTAGATGGCAACTTTCCTGCTGTAATAGACTATACACCATATTTGAAGTTTACCCAAAGGTATTTGACATTTTGAAAATGTTATCGAAATCTTAATTTATAATCGGATGTCTTCTTCTACAGTGTATTTATCTGATTGAAGTCACTTTTTATAAAACGTTTATTTCAGTATCAGAAGTCATTCAAAAATACAAACTCAAGTTGCATTTTAGTATTTATGTAAGTACACACTTTTTACATAATTGTAATCCCAGCTTAAGTATAGTTTTTTAAAAACAGCATGTGTTTTTATTGCTGTAATCATTATAATAACTTTAATTGCTCTATAATAGTCCATTGAGATTCCCAAACTATAATTCATCATTTAGAATGTTTTCCATTTTAATCTCCATTATAAAGAAAATAATAACATTTTTGTGCAAATCAATTTTCTTTTTGTTTCTATTGTGAATTTACAGAGTTCTTCAGGTAAATACAATGAAAAATTTTATGTCTCTTAAAGTGTGTCTTTATAAAAGAGTTGTACCAGCTTATCCTGCTACCAGTATTCTGTGAGAGTTAGGGATTGCCCACAATTTTATCAGCATTGGACGTTAATCAGATGAAATCTGTAGATTTTCTGAAGCTCTGCTCGCATTATTGATTTCCTGAATAGAATGAGGATCTTTGTATCCTTTTAAAATGTTATGATCAGGCCAAAGCTGTAAGAGAAAGAAAAAAAGAGAGTGAGTAATATGTATATGTATATATGTAATATATGTATATATACACATATTCAAGGTGTATTTATTGAGTGCCTAATGTAGGAAAGAAAGTTTCTTAGCTGCCAGGGATACATAGATGTCAAGAGTATAGGGACTTCATGAACTTCTGAAAAAAAATACAGTCCCTGCCCCTGAGATAATCATCATCTAGTGAGAGAAGTCACTATTACTTCAGAACTAGGAGTCTGAAGATATTTTGGTTGCTGAGAGAGAAGGAGAAATAGAGCATTATGGTACCAAGATTTCTAATTGAGTAAGTGGATCCCTTGGGAAAAGGGATTATTCTAGTACATTAGATCTAGAAAAGAAATACAGCAAGAAGATATTTGAACAGCTATAACATTATACCATTTGGGATGTATTGGATTATAGGATATTTTGTGAAGATAACAGATAGTTCAAAATAATACTAATAAAAATAGTATTAATAATATTTATTGAATGTTTATTATATATCAGGCATTGTTCTAAATGCTTTACTTCTGTTAACTCATTTAATACTCAAAAGCCAGTGAGGTAGGAACTGCTATCCTTATTTTACAAATGAGAAAAACTGAAACACAGAGAGATTAAATAACTTGTCCATAGTCATACAGCTGTTTTATGCAGAATGGGCCACAAGTCTAGAATTAAAGAGCAAGGTGACAGGTGGAGATAGGAGTTTGGTCATCAACATATAGGTGTAAAGGCTATTTTTAGTGATTTAAGAAATGACTTAAATTATAAAGATAAAGATAAACGTGAATACTAATTTTCTTCTCCTACTTACATAAGGGGCTGTAGTAATTATTACAGTACTTTTAAAAGATACAGTAATGAAACCCTCTCAACTAGTGACCTCAGAATAAATTAATGGTATATACTCTGTATCCCCAACTGCTTAACCACTTTTTCTCTGAATTTTTATGCAGTTCCTTCTTTCTTTGATGCACTAATCCAAACATGTATGTAAAGCTTCCTCTCCTTTATATGCTGAGGGATTATAAAGGGTACTAAAATGAGAAGGGAAATAACAGTTCAACCTAGTCATAAGCCAGTTAACATTACTGTCCATGGAGTTTTTCTTTTTAGGAAGATTTAAACTATCCTAATTGTCATAAAGAACGAATATTTTAAAAGTTGAATTGCTTCCACTGAAATATACCTGTATTAGACACATTTTTTTAAAACTCTAAGGTCCTAATTTTAAGAAACTGTAAGAGTCTGTCTCTGCCCAAATTACTGCTTTTAATTTATTTGGAAAGTAGTTCATGTTCACGGTTGAAAAATTAGAAAATATAGAAGAGTAGATAGAAGAAAGTTTGTCACTCATAATCTTACCTTCAAGGAGCAGCTGCTAGAAGTATTAACATTTTGATGGATAGCTTTCCAGCCTTTTCTATTGCATAGATACATTTTTTCTTTTGTTAAAACGGAATCAAAATGTACATGTAACTGTTTATTTCCCTTAAACTGTATAATGAACATTTTTGCATGTCATTCATTATCCTTCTACAGCATCATTTCCTAAAATGAATAGAATTTCATTATCTGTAGTATAATAGGTTTTCCCAGCTATTGTTGGACTTTTAGGTTACATTCGTTGTTCACTGTGTATACAAAGTTGTAGTTAATATCCTTATAACTACAGCTTTTTATATAGAACCATGATTATTTCTTTAGTTAAAATCCTGCAAGTAGAATTTCTGGGATAAACAGCATATATATTATTAAAGCTTTTGAACTATGCTGTCAAATTGACCTCCAGAGAGGCCATACCAGTTTCGTTTCAATCAGTATATGTGGGAGTGCTTGCTTCCTACCATCGCCAGCTAAGTATTAAAAGTGTGTCCAATTCTGTAAATGAAAAATGATATCCTGTTTTTGTTTTAATTTGTATATATTTGATTGCTGGTGAAGTTGAACTTTTAAAAATGTTTATTAACCATTAGCCTTTTTGGTTTTTTTAAAGATTTTATTTTTCCTTTTTCTCTTCCAAGCCCCCTGGTACATAGTTGTATATTTTTAGTTGTGGGTCCTTCTAGTTGTGCTATGTGGGACACCGCCTCAGCATGGCGTGATGAGCGGTGCCATGTCCACGCCCAGGATCTGAACCAGCAAAACCCGGGGCTGCTGCAGCAGTGCGCATGAACTTAACCACTGGGTCACGAGGCTGGCCCCAGCCATTAGTCTTTTTAAGTGGAGTTGTATCCTTCTGAAGCTAAGTATATGAAATACATAAATAGAAAACATCCTAAAATGTATTTCATATTTAAAATTAGTTTAAGTTTTAGGTTGTGCACCAGTGAGAAAACAGTTGTGCTTTTCTGAGTTACCATTTGGTGGAACTTTAAACATCTTTAAACAACTTTTCATGCATAGATTTTAGGCCTGAAAAGTCCGGTAGCTAATGATTGTTGATCTTTTATGATGCCTTCAGTTTTTCACTTCTAAGTATAATGCCACCATCAAGATTCTTGGAGCTAAGTCTTTGTACTTAAACATGACTATTTCCTAAAGAGGCAAATTTCTACAAACAAAATTGCTGACTTAAAGAGACTGTACGCCATCAAATATGCTGTTGAATTGCCCTTCCTAGTAGATGCAGGATTCCATATCCTCACCTTTCCCCCTCTTAGTAGGGGTAAATTAATCATTTTGCCACCAGAGGCCAGTCCTTTGACCACATCCCATCCTCTCTCTTCTGTTGAGGTCTTTCTCCAGCACTTGTCCCCTTACATTAATTTTCCCTTTTCTAGGTCTTCCCGCACGTCACGGCACACAGGCATGTTATTTTCCCCACCTTAAAAAACAAAACACATTTCTAACCCCACATTCACTTGTAGCTATGTCTCAGTAACCCCTCTTTTATTACAAAGCTGTGTCTCCTTCGGGCCGGCCCCGTGGCCGAGTGGTTAAGTTTGTGCGCTCTGCTGCGGCAGCCCAAGGTTTCACCAGTTCATATTCTGGGCGCTGACATGGCACTGCTCATCAAACCATGCTGAGGCGCCATCCCACATGCCACAAGTAGAAGGACCCGCAACTAAGAATATGCAACTATGTACCTGGGGGCTTTGAGGAGAAAAAGGAAAAAAATAAAATCTTAAAAAAAAAAAAAAAAACTGTGCCTCCAGTTTTTTTTGTCTCCATCCTCTCTTGAACTTTTCAAATTTGCCTTTAATACCCACCCCTGAACTGCTCTTGTCAAAGGCAGCAGTTATACCTTATCACCAAATCCAGTGGTTAGCTTCCTTATCTTACTTGACCTTTCAGCAGTGTTTAAGACTTGTGAGCACTCTCTTCAGCACTCTTCTGGTTTGCCTCCTTCTTACTTTCCTTTGCTGGTTTCTCTTCATCTCCACAACCTCTAACTGTTGTACTCTTTCAGAGATCAGCCCTGAATCATCTTCTCTATCTACACTCACTCTAAGTTTCATTTGGTTTTATGGCTTTAAACACTATTTGTTTCTGCTCTTTCCCAAATGTATACTTCTACCTGAAACACTACCCTAAACTCTAGCTGCCAACTTGACATCTCCACTTGGATGTATAATAAGCACTTCACGTGTAACATGTGCAACATTGAACTCCTAATTTCTCCCCTGAAAACTTTTCTTCCTTTAGTCTTTCCCATTCCAAGAATGGTAGGTCTATTGTTCCAGTTGCTTGTGCTCAAAACTTTGGAGTCATCGTTGAATTCTCGGTGCCATAATTCACATAGGGTCCATCAGCAAATCCTTTGACACCACCACTACTATCTCCTTAATTTAAACCTGGAAATTTGTAATTTTCTTCATGCCTCTACCTCTGACTCCTCTGGTTTATTCTCCATAAAGCAGCTAGAGTGATCCTTTTCAAATGTAAATCAGATTATTCCAGTCCTCTCCTCAGAACTTTCCAGTAACTTCTTTCCTCAAAAGACAAATTCCTTGATTGATTTGGCCTCCAGTACCTCTCAGGTGTTATCTCCTACTGCCTGCCCTCTCACTCACCGTGCTCCAGTAACACTGGCCATCTTGTTATTCCTTGAGCATACCAGGCGTTAGGCCACACCTTTGCCTTAGGGCCTTTGCCCTGTCTAGTCTCCCTGCCAGGAAGCAATCTCAGATATTTGCATGGCTAGTTCCCTTATCTTCTCTAAAACTCAGCTTAATACCACCTTACTGATGAAGCCTTCACTGAACTTCCTGCATAAAATAACTTCTCCACTCATGCTATGCCCCTTACCTTCTTTATTTTCTTTATAGTGACTATCGATGTCTAACATGGGCTATATTATTTGTCTGTCTCCTCCCACTAGAATGTAAACCCCAAGAAGTCAAGGACTGTTGTGTTGGTTCACACACATATCCTCAGTGCCTAGAACAATGCTTGGCACACAATAGATATGTAATAAATATGTGTTTTGAGAATTAAATGAATGAATATCCTCTAGGTTTTCTAATGCTTATTTATAGGATTAAAATTATTCTTCTGAAGGAGATGATGTTTTTAAGTTTCAACAGGGTTATCAGGCTGAAGATTTTATGGTCCATTTTTTCTTCTTTGTATATATTTATTAAAAATAATTATTGAAGGAAAAGGAATAAGGAAATTGATAAGAATTCTTAATCTCTATTTAATAAATAGTAAAGCATTATAAATATTTTTGTTAAAAGAAAATTATTTTTTGTTTTATATTGCTATTGTCTTTCATTGCCTCAATAAAAATTTTAAAAATATTTTGCTCTTTAAAATATTGGAATGTTCCTGAAATTCTTAAGCATCATTTTTTCTCTAAAAATATTTGCAGAATTTCTCTTTTAGAATAAGATATACTTTTAAGAGTATCAACTTTTCTTGTCCATAGCATAAAATAACTAAGTCTTAGGAAAACATACAGACCCTCAGGGACCTGGTGTCAATTTATGTTGTTAGCTATGTTATTTATCTACCACTCATTCAGCTTTTTTGGACAT